TAGTTAAATTCTAAGCAATCTAAGCAAAATTATAAATCAAAATTTTTCCTTTGACAGGTGAGGGAATTTGTGAAGGTCTTGCCTGACAAACAGAAACATTTGGAGTACATTCAGTCTCTTCAAAACACGATTTGCATGAACTATAGGAATATGACAGAGGCGGAGCTGACTGTGGAAGAAAAGGTCTGAAAGCAAATGCAAAGAAATGGCAAATACGCTATAAATAACCACAATATTAAGCGTATCATGGCTTTACATGGGATGTGAGTGTGCTCGGGTAACGCGTCGTGCTTCTGTTTGTGTTTTATATTTAGATGCTGAACTTGTGGAATTGCTTTATTCCCCTGTTGAAGGAAGCAGACGACCTTGTTTGCCGCCATCATCCTTCAATGGCTAAAGCACTGGACATGATGTTCTCATTTCTGTTCTGTGACCTTAAAAATATCGTCTCTGACTCTACATCTGGACCCTTCCTTGATCCTTGCCAAAATGCCAAAGAGATGATGTCCAAACTGAACTACATGTGCATGCATGTAAACACTCTCAGTGCAAAGCTGGACCTGCTTAGTAGGAGCAGTCAACAGATGGGAGGTGAGATGATGCTGTATTTTGAATATTTGAAGGATTGAAAGGTTTGGTTTGGTGAAGATTAAACAAACAGGTGCTTACAAAAAGCATGTTTATTCTCTCTATTCTGCTTCCTATTAGAACATACTATAGATCTCACCGTATTGACCACAGATGTTCAGAAGGTCATAGCCCGCAAAGACTTGTGGGAACTGATAGCAGTCTATACTACATGGCTGGAAGAATGGAAGCCAATGGTTTTTAGTGAGGTAACATGAAATCAACCCTTTTCTCTGTTAAACATATTCAGAGTCAAGAACCGCCTCTCATGTTAATGAGATGACATATTTATTTCTTTGTACAAAAAAATTGCAATGGGGTATGTCAATCACAGGTTACCCCATGATACAGTCATGTAAGGCTATGCTAAATGTACATAATGGTTAAAATCATTTTTGATGCTTCTGTACTGGTTAATCCACCAGTATGTGCAAGCCCATTAATCAAAATGATACTTTTACTGCTAAAATAGAATTAATGTTATATGTGAATTTTTTAATCTGCTGTTTTACAAAAAAACTGTAAAAAATAGTAAATCAAATTATTATTTTTGATCAAGACGCCAAATTACACTTATTTGCTAGCATTCCTGAACAGAAGAATTAGTGGTTGAATTTTATGCTTGATTAATTTCTTAATTAA